AGCATTCAGTATTAGATCAACTCAAAGGAGCTTTCATCACAGAACACCTCTGAACCTTTCATCAACTGAACGTCAAAGATTATACAAAGCAAATAAGAAACTACGACTAAAAATACAAAAACTCAAGAAGAAGAAGAGTTTATACAAACCCAAGAAGAGCAATATGTAGAACCTCTCAGTGAAGAATATTAACCAGAGCCTAAATACTGAACGTATAAAACCCGCGTTTGAGCATATATTTATAGGCAACGACCATACCACGTTGAATAATACCGGTTCTCGTCCGATCACCGAAGTTAAGCAACGTCGGGCGCGGTTAGTACTTGGATGGGTGACCGCTTGGGAACACCGCGTGTCGTTGTCTTTTTGCTTCTTTGCAATACAAGCAAATGTTGTAAATAAAAGATATTTTACATTTAAAAGGAAATTAAATTACATTTTACCTATTCCTAATCTATTTATAAATTATTAAACCAAGAATAATCTTAAAATTATAATTGCCATCATGCGTTAAACAAGTTCGATATTATGTTTTCTATGGTTTCTATAACTAAATGAAGTTATCATTTTTGTCGAGCGTCCCGTGACGCACACCATTTTTTATTTATTGTGCTAAGGACGGAAAATTATTTTTTTGTGGAATTTATTTTCTGTGTTAAATAATAATTTTGTAAAATGCAATTTACAAAAATGTCGAATTTGAAACCTTACAAAATGTAGCAGCTTTTAAAATTTTTAAATAAAATATAATTTATTTTAATTTGATAACGGTTGATTTCACAGCTTAAAGTGTAAATGCAAATGTGTACCTTTGTAAATTGTCTATATAATGACGTATTAATATACAGGTACTTCCATTTGAAAAACAAAAGTTATATTGCGTTAAAAAGTTTCAGATTAAGTCGAGATTGTTAACACCCTGTACCATGTATTGATATTTTGGTTCAATGGAATTCTTAACAGACCATGTTGATTGGAAAGACGTATTTTTTTGTATCTCTAACTGCTTTTTTTGCTTCTACAATGAAATTTTAGATATCATGTTTTAAGGAAAATTTCACTAAAATGGCGATAATCTGCCAACGTCGCAAGTGAGCAAAAAACAATTGACGGTACATATGCAGCGTTTCAAGCTGTATTCCATGAGCTAATAAAAAATGGGTAGTTCTATTTAAAAAAATACACTTTGATCTTGCCTCGCTTTTCTGAGACGCTCTGTATCATATAAGAATGTGCGTCAAAATTTTATATAAAACTATTTTTACACCATCACCATTTAAGTTTAACACCATCGGAAATTATGGACTCTATGCACTAAAAAGCCACCCTGTATATAATAAAAAAATAATTTAAAAGACGTGAGGAAATTCTGTCTTTTTTAAAGACAAAAGTTTTTGAGGCAAAACACTAACAAGCAGTTCGTATAAAAAAATTAATTCGCCTCTATAATATAGAACTTATCTACAACTCTAATATTTGAATACTCGAAT